AGTATTTTTTAAACCGAACGGCATAACCGTCCATTCGTAAATCCCCAAGGCTCCTGGGCACCTGAACGCAGTTTTTGGTATACCTTCCTCTGCTAGTGAAATATGATTATATCCTGCATAACCGTCCATCAGGCTTAATATTCGGTGTCCTGCTGCCGAATCGATCAACATATCGGCTATGGGCATCACATACTCATCTTTAGGAGTAGCTAAATTGAGATCTCTGAAGTCAATGTAGATAGGAATCTTTCCATTCTTCTTGGTTATCGGGACGATGTTGGCTAACCATTCTACATATCGACAAGGTCGAATAAACCCTACTTTCAATAATTTCTCAATCTCTTCTTTGATCCGTGGAAGCAGTTCTGGGCTAACCCTTTTTGGTGGTTGCTTATATGGCCTGAACCCCTTCTTGATAGGTAACCTATGCTCTATTAAATCGCGTGCCAGTCCAGGCATTTCTGAGTAATCCTATGCCAAACATTCCATATGATCCTGAATTACCGTTACCATTTGTTCCTGCTGGTTTTTAGACAACAAACCACTAACCCTGACCATCTTGGGTATCTGTTCGGTTCCTACATTGTACTCAATGAGCGGATCCTGAGTTGACAGAGAAGGTTATGTCTTCTCCAGAAGGTCAGGCCAGCGGAAATCTTCTCCCTCATCAACATTATTGTTGGAAACTTCCTTACCATGTAGTCTAACCATTAATTGGTTTAAATAAAACTGTCTAATCAGCTCATCACACTCATATATTTCTTCCATAATTAAATCTTAATAAAATTAAAAAGTTTTTTGGCTGACAAAAAAGCCATAATAGAGAAAAGAAAATGTTTCTAATGAAACAAATATCCCTGCGCAGTGAGCTTACAGCTCTTCCAAGGATAATCATCTATCACTGCGATTTGCGAGATAGGGGGTATGTATTCAAAATAAAGTACGGATTCTTCCACAATCTCCGTGGAGCCAAACGGATTAGTGCTGGCATCCATTCTGAATACCTGATCCCCTTCCTAAAACATAATCTGCTGATGGAGAAAAGAGGGCACGCACTTAGAGGCGTGAATCCAATCTCGCACCAACAAAACTGAGTAAGTGGTGTTGGCATCTACCACAAAGAAAATAGTTAAAATCACCTTACGTCCGACCTCGATAGGGGCTACCATCATCCCTTCTGGTTTCGTCGGTTGCCCCGTGAAGCTTGTCATCTCGATATCTACTAGAGACAGATCACCAATTCCTTTTCCCAATTTCTTCAACGTCTTGAGAGGCATAACGTTGAAGACAGCTCCATTATCAATGAAAACTTTGTTAATCGGCTTACCACATATGTGAGCGTTACCATATAATGGTTTCAAGTGTGGGATTGCTCTTTCTAGTATAGGTGGAAAAACCATAGGTGGGGGACTGTTGTGTGTAGGTCCGGGCCTACTAGCCATTGCCGCCCATTCTGGTTCCTCTTCCTTCAGCCTTGCCCAGATAGGCTCATCTTCTTCCTCGAACCACCGCATACCAGTCATCCTGATTTCGAACCCGGTTTTGTCGGTCTTTACTATCTTGCTATGCAAAGCCCTTGTCTCCTTTGGAGCAAACGACCCAAAGATTATCTCAGGCTCCTCTCCTTCGGCTGCTTCCATCTCGGGATCAATATTGATCCGTCTGCAGAATTGACATCGGAAACACCTAGCATTCTTGATAGGCTTTTCGATTTCCCAACACTCCCGTAGTTGGTCACTCGAGTTTTTCCTTTTGGGTGACACCTCCCTCTTCTCCTTCCCTTTATCTGCTCGCTTCCCGTGCCGAGCTGCATACCTGCGCTTACGGATTTGTGTACGATTCATACCTGGAAATCGGGGATCTATATCTACGGCTAGAGGCCTTCTGTTCCGACTCCATTTGTCATGGACTGGTTGTGGCTTACGCGTTGGTCGATCTTGCACTACCACTTTATCTTTTAACTCCACTTCGAATGAGCCATCCATTTTGTCCCACTTCTCAGCCACCCTGGTTTCGCAGGTCTTAAAACTTATCATCCTGATCGAGCTCTTTTTCTTTTGGCTTACGTTCCCTCCATTTGGTATTTCATTCTCTTTCATCGTCTCGTTGTGCACTTTGTGAAGAACGTACAGAGATTACAACAGTAGTTACTTTTGGGAAGGGCTGCTGCTCTACTCCCATCGTCATGTATTTGAATCTCCCCGCTTTGATAGCCCTCTGAATTTTCTTTCGGAAATGTGTACACTGGTTAATGTAATGTGTAAAAGAGTTATGCCACTTGCAATATGGCCTTTCCTTTATTTCCTTCTTTGTCACTAACCGTTGTCCCTTCGGGATGCGAATTTGGCCATCCGCTAGTAGAATATCGAAGATTTCATCTGCTTTGGATGCGTCAAAAGTCGGTTGTTCCCGCTCTTCTACCCCTGGAAGGGGCTTCAATTTGGAACATACATAGGGCTTGCCGTTTACAATTTCATCCGCCATTTCTTCAGCACATTTTCCCTGTTCATCGTCTGGTGTATACATCTCCGTGTCGACACTGGCCATCCGTTAAGCCTTATTCCGCCGGAAGTTGTGATCCTTTTCTCTAAAGAGGGACTCTAATCTCCCTGCCTTGGATGCTAAACTGGCCAGATCTCGAACATCATGGGCTGTTAAAGCCTCCCGCAGCCGTATATGCATATTCCTGACCACCAAATTGGTCATTTCGCTCTCCTCGATGACTGTTGGGCAACGTCCTTTCATCAGTCGTATCCGCTCTATGAATTAGTAGGCGGTCTCTTCCGGCATTTGCCTAATCTCCAAAAGGTCTGTGAGTCAGACCGTCGGAAGAGGATTAAAGAACCTTGCATAAAAAGCCACTTCCAAACCTTCCCAAGTTTGCAACTGTCCTGGTGGAAGATTGGCAAACCAAGAAAAAACTGTTCTTGTGAGAGATAATCCAAACAAATGTAATTTGTGAAACGGATTATTACCCACTTCCCCCAATTGAGCCGTGAAACGTCCCACGTGCTCAATGGTTGAGGTTTCATCTTCCCCCGAGAAAGAGTGAAAATCTGGTGGCCTATAATTTCTCGGGAGAGGATGCTCATTGATGATTCTCTCTGGAAATGGCCTCTAATATGCCGGTCTGTTCACCGTTTGAGGATTCATTTCGAAATACACCCGCAGGACTTGAGCGATGTCTTACGGATCCACTCTGGGTGGAATAGGGTCGAACACAGGAATGGGATTATGAGTTTGACCTCCCAATCTTTCTTCTCTAGGGAAGGTTGGCTCGGCTCTGACACCCAGTGGAACATTATATGGGTATGTTAGAGGAGTCCTTCCCCTGTCAACCCTAGTAGTGGCACTTGGAAAAGTACTGTCTACATATGAAGGCCCCGCAAAATTTGCTTGTAATCTGGATGGTGAAATCCCTGACGGTGACTAAGTGGGTTGAAGAGTAACCCTTGATAAAGCTTGATATAACATATGTTGCATGAGATTTTGTTGCTTACGCAACATATTCTGCATGGCCACAATTTGCTGATTGTTCAAATGTTGAACATAAGACACCCAATTGGCGGGTGCTTGGGGCACTTCCCCTACATTTGGCATGGCGGGTGGTGAAATGGTTTCTCCCGCCGGTGTTGAAGAAACTTGGGGTTGTGAACCTGCCATATAGATCCTTCCGATAATTCGGCCGGATCTCAGTCGTATGAAATTTTCTCTCGACGTAGGATTAACAATCTTGCCTATCTCCCACTGTGGTCGCCAATTTGTTGATGCCGATTTTAACAATAAAAAGTAAAACCCGAAAATAGAAATTATCTTCGAATTTGATAAAAATAAATGCCTGAGTTTAAGAATCCCTAGACACCGTACGATACATAAGCAAAATAGGAAAAATATATACTACAGACTGTAAAAGTAAAGTGGTGATCCTCAAAAGAAATTCACTGAATTTGATATCGATTGAAGATGCTCGTATAGGTCGTGAAAAGACCTATTTAAAACCCATGTCAACCGCCACATCTAGGTCGTGCCTCTATATCCGCTCGCCAGTTATAACTTCCTCCAACCGTCTTAGAACTGTCTTTCACCCGACCTGCATATCTACTACTATGTCTTCCCTTGCCCGTTTTCCACTTGCCCGACCTCCGTATTGGTCATCTCACCCTTTCTTCACCCGACTTCCTTTTGCCCAACCTCCATGCCAACCGACCGAAATACCTACCATCTCCCTTGTCAAACCTTTTCTTATCTGACCTCTGTACTCACCGATCTCACAGGTCTCTCCCGAAACAATCCATTTCTTAATAACGTTTGGGCCCATTTTAGGGTCCTACCGCCATCAACAGGCCCATTGAACTATACACCAGTCCGCAACTCAACTTATAGGTTCATTCTCGAAAACCCTGCACATTGATTTTTCCTTACTCAACAATGATTATATTGAAAACATGGTTGTGAACATGGCCTAGAACATGGCTGTGTTGAGAACATGGGCGGGAACATAGCCTAGAACATGGGCAGGAACATGGACAGGAACATGGTTGTGTTCTTAACACGTGTAGGAATACGATCGTGTTCAGAAGTACAGGGTAATCAACACGGTCGTGTTCAAGCCAACACGGTCGTGTTCAAGCCCAGTCAACCAACTTGGGACTAAAATTGATAAATTTTCATTTGAATTGGACCAAAATTGATAATTTGTTTTGAATGAGACCAAAATTGATAATTATGATATTAAATGAGACCAAAAAATAATTTTTGCTCAATTTAAAAGAAGAGTTAGTTATCTATATTACATAGGAATGCATGGATGAAGTATACAATACAATAGTCAATTACTAGCAAACTTAGTCTAGAAACGGGTCATTTGGGCCTGATAGTCAAGGCCCATATTATAATTGGGCCGAACAAAAAACAATTAAAAAATATAATATTTATTGGGCCGGCCCAATTATTATTAATATGGTACCTATGAAAATCCTTCTATAATTTAACATAAAAACATAGCGAGAAAATCCATTTATCTCGTCCCCCTCTCTCTCTCAGGAATCCTCTCTGGCCAGCGGCGAAACCCTCAGATCGGTGAGGGAAGGATCTTCTCGTTCCTCGATTTCCATCCGTCAAAGTAATTCGTGTTGCCGTTAATTTTCGCTATGTCTCAGGTGATTTTTGTTCATCTCTTCTTTTATTGGTTTATTATTATTATTATTATTTTCGCCTTATCTGTGTCGAATTTTAGATCGTGTTGAACTGTTTATGCATCCTGTGGCGTTACCAATCGCTTGAAGATTTTTAAGTCGTTGGACGTTAGGGTTTACCCGGTTGTACTTCCTTTGTTTTTCTTTGTGTGTTGGTGATGTTACGGCGAGCACTGTGGTGAATGTAGAAGTTTCTTTTTTTTTTTTTTCCTAATAATTTTGCTTTTGTAAATATCAGGTTGATAACAGAAATTCTTCGGCAGCTAAACGTGCCCGTACTGATGGTATGGCTTTCCTTGCTTTAATTTGCTAAGTTTCGGTTTATGGGTGGGTTTGTCGTCATATCTTTTGTGTATTTCTGGAAGTTAAAACATTTTTTGACGGCGGTGTTTTGGATTATGTATATTTTTTAAGTATTATTGAACCAATTTGAGATGAATTAGGAATAGGAAGTGCTATGCATACTTAAATAGGATTTTGATTCTAATTCCTAACTACTTGTTGGGCTTGTCTTATTCGCAAGCAAGTTTTTCTGCACACTATCTGCCTGAGGGTGGAGGACGTTGATTCTTATCTGTTATGTTAGTGAAGTTCATGGTCGCGTCATGATTGATCGTTGTTTGCATACATATGAAGTTTCAATTTTCATTTTTTCAACGATAACTGTAGTATTTCATGGGGGTTTGTTCCTGTAAAGTTTTATCCAGGTTTTTATTATTTCAACTATGCTTTGCTTGAAAAAAAATATACACTTTTTCCTTCACAAAATATCACATCAAACACTATTTCAATAAAAAAAACCCAAACTTCCAAATTCAATCCAGACTGAGAAGAAACATAAATTGTTACGCTTATAACCATAAATTTGGTATGGTGAAATAATGCAATTAATGTTTCAAGACATAAACTGTTAATAACATGATGGAGAGTGATATAAATGGAAAGTTATTGATACAGCCTCTGTTCCATTTATAGGGAGGCATGCTTTCGAAGGCGATAATTATAATGATTTTTTACCAGGGTTTGTTTATTTTATTTAAACAAAAAGGAATATTAGCAGTCTTTTATTTGTCTTTTGTTTGACTCCCTCCCGCTTGCAGTCTCTGCCTTCAGGCCACCTGTTTTATTTGTATCTTCTGCCTCTTCTCGCATATATGTGTCTTATGTATATTAAAAATATATTAATTCCTAGTAGCACGCCCCACGCACCATATGCCATGGAATGACAAAGGCCTTGCATCAAGTTGCGCCAAGTGCCATTTACAACTACAATGATGGAGATATAGAATTTATGTTAAGTTGTGTGACTAAAGTACACCAAAGTAACATGCAAAGATTATAATTTACTGTTCTTTTGTGAGAATATACTAAATGAATCCTACAAAAGTTTTCTTGTGTGGAAAATTTATTATAGGTTATTGTATATATAATTTTAAAGTGATACTTGGCATGCTATGATAAATTCTATTCTATCATGTTAGGTAAATGTGGCTATTATATATTCTATTGCATCATGTTAGGTAACATGTGATTCTATAATTATTTTCCTTTCTATTACTGAAAAAATGTAGAATTCCTTTTATGTTTCTTGTATATGTTGTACTGCATTGATCATCAATCTTTCTTATTCCAAGTGCCTCAACTATAAGTTTATACATAATATATTAAAGTGTATATGCTAAAGTAATAGTATTTGTTTGTAGTTTGTACGTATATTACATGTGCCGGTTATGTTGCCATGTGATCATCAACTAAGGCGCTAGCCATGCCTGATTTAAGTTTACCATGTACTACTTCGTTGAATTATTTCAATAGGAAACAAATTGCAACTTCTGTTTTTGTTTATATTTATTTTCCTTCATATCTTTTACATATAATCAGATTTAAAGTTTCTTCTCCTTTTCATTTCTCTTAGAAGTTCACTTTTTTCTACTATCCGTTCTTTTCCTAATTGTAGTCACATTAGAGGTTTCTTCAGGGTTCTGTGTAGTTAATTGAGCCTGATGATTTTACTTTGTAGGAGGACGCAGGGAAGATGACTGGACCTGCCCTAGCTGTGGCAATGTGAACTTCTCATTTAGGACGACCTGTAACATGCGAAACTGCACTCAACCAAGGCCTGCTCATCACAACACTGTAAGAGTTTGAGCTATCTCACAGTTAGTCAGTGAGGTTTTATACATAAAAAGATGGCTTTGTTTGGTTATGTTCTCTCAGCTTTTTTCCCAACCATTTTCAAAGTGCAATCCACTTATAATCTTCTGTATCTATCTCTTCTTAATAAACAAAAATATATTTATATACTCCTACATTTAAAGCTCTCCATATTTTGATAAAATTCATCTATGTTAATCATGTATATATATACATTTTATATATTTGTATTATATAAAACTTTATTATAAAATAATATTCAAATTGAATATATTCCATTAATATATAGTTTTTAAAAGACTTAACATATATTTTAAATTCATTTTTATTATATATATATCACAACATATATAAATATCAGTTAAATAAATTTCGTCCAACCGAACTTCCAACACATTCAACCATCAACCAAACAAACTGTCTTTAGTGAGAATTAAAAAATGGGGATTCGGTGGCGTTGCCTAGTGATGCATAATTGTATATCATCTCCATGATTCAGTGAGGGTTTGCACTTGAAAATATAACATCTTTTATCTGGACTAGTAGAGTAATATGCTTGTCTTCATTGAGATATGGCATTTCCTCAGTGATTCCAAATGATATGTATGGTGCTACTAGACATTGAATATTGCATCAAATTCACGAATAAGCTACTATAGCATATAGTTTGTTGCTAATAAGCTAATAATTTCCTTCATCAAAGTAGTATAAAATATCTGCATGATGAAGTTTGTTGCTTTTTAGATTTCACGTTTGTCTGTTGACAAGAATATCACACTGATTTGATTTAATTTTAATTACAATGGTTTCTTGTCATTATGATAAATTTTAAGTGGGTTTACTGTATTTGCTAACTTGAGTTTTCCTCTATATTTCAGAAACCTGCTGTTAGACCTATGGAAGCACAAGGCTTCTCTCCTGCAGCTCCTTATGTAGGTTCTGGTGCACCCTCCTCAATGTATATGGGTTTACCTCCTTATGGATCTTCACTATTTGGAGGGACATCTATCGCCCCATATGATATGCCATTCTCAGGGGGCTCTGCATATCATTACAATTATGGAAGCCGTCTCTCTGGGGGAAGTCCATATCGCCCCTTGCATTTTTCTGGGCCCCCTCCATATGGAGGTGGATCAATGATGGGTACTGGTATATTCTCTCCCATAATATTTTCTTTAGTTCAACTTATCAGATGCAACTGCCCTTCTGATTTTGTAGCATGAAATACCATCTCCGTAATGCATGAAGTCTTTTTTTTGCTGCACTGTTTTCATATGCATTTGTTAACTCAGTTGAGTGTCCTTGTACTATTTACTCTTTGCAGGTGGAATCTATGGCATGCCACCTCTCATGGATCGATATGGTCTGGGCTTGCCTATGAGCCCCACCATGGTAAATATTGAATGTTAAGATTTGATGAACTTACAATACAACTAATTCAATTGTGTCTGCAAGCTTTATCATGTGGTGTCAATCATCTCTCGATAGTTCGTAAAGTACTGGATATCCAATATGAACTTTTTAATATAATATTTGTTGAGTTATAAATTTGCACTTCCAATGCTATTGCTTATAACTGTAATAGATTTAATTATACATTGTTTCATGATTATGCGGACAGTTTGGTTTTCTCTAGTTTAGGATAATGAAACAATATTGTGGCTTATTTGTCTTGATAATATAGTATATTATTTCCTAAAATTTACATGCTTTGCTTTTACATGATAATGAAAGTTGCTCTTATATGTGAGAAATAAGTATGTAGCTTATTGATTGACAACTATATGGTTGTAACCGCTTGCAGGGTCCAAGACCTGGTTTTTTGCCCGAGGACAAATCTCTGAAGAAAGCTGGTGGTAGTTAATTCCTCATGAATCCTTAGTTTCATGAATTAATACATTTTTGGTTTTGCTTTAACAATTTTGTTTCTAATTTTATTGTCAGATGCAACTCGTGACAATGACTGGACATGCCCCAAATGTGGAAATGTCAATTTTTCATTTAGAACGGTTTGCAACATGAGGAAGTGCAACACACCTAAGCCTGGATCTCAGGTATATGACCAAATTTTCACATTTTAGTGTGGTCATGAATTGAACTGTATACTGTCATATCCCGCTAATGTTAGGGAATTTTATTGTTATTGCCAATTTATTAATCAATTTGTTTCAACTTGCTAGTTTTGCATGAGTTGATTTGTAATTTCATTTCAATGCAGGGAGCTAAATCAGGCAAGAGTTCAAGTAAGTCTCTTTGACAAAAGCATTACTCTTTAATAGCACCATGGGTCTCTTAAAGTTCTTTTTTGATATTTATTTATTTTATATATGCTTACAATCTTGTCATTTAGAACCAGACATGCCAGATGGAAGCTGGAAGTGTGAGAAATGCAACAATATAAATTATCCTTTTAGGACCAAGTGCAACAGACAGAACTGTGGTGCTGAGAAACCTATTGACTTAAAAAAATCTCCATCTGCTGCTGACGAGGATGATCAGGTCTGTTGTGCATTGTATTTAATTTGTGTGACACCTTTTTTGAAATTGACAATTTCTTCTGGCCTACTGTATTTATGTAACAAAACAAAATTTACAAATAGTTGCAATTTACGTATACACTTATTTATCATGGGAGCAAGAGCTATACTTAATGTGAGGATGATGATCATCACCATCATTATCATCGGTCAAATTATTATTTATTGCTATTGTTTCCCTATCTGGTCTTTAAAAAGTGCTTGCCTGTGGTTTTTCTTTTTCTACTTAACTTTGTGTCATCTTTTCACATACTAAATATCATTGTCTAATGTTCCAGTGAGTTCTAGGCATGTTTGAGAAGGTCCAGAGTCTTCGTCCAGCTTGCTCAATGTGGGTGTATGAAAGTCAGTCATGTCGTCATCTCCTGTTGCAGCGATTGTCAAATACACTGCTTCACTGTTTGTGTCATGTTTTTGTATTAACTCTTAACGGTATCATGTGTCTTTATCCTTGAAAATTTACATCCTGTGTCTATGAGGTTGTGCTTGCCAGACATCTAATTACTCAGTTATGTTTTAGGATCGTGTACATTTTCAAATCTCATTATGGAGGTGCGATAATGTGCAAATGGAGTTATATATTTTTCAGGTCTTTGTGTCTGGTATAACCGTCTCACTCCCAGTCACCAGACACTGGTCTCAAAATCCCAGGGATATATTTATGCATGCATTAACTACGGGTGATAAGTGTAAAATTGGTTCTGCCATTTTGGTCATTGTGGTTCTGCATTAAGTTTCTAGTTTCTCCTTGGGTGTGTTTTTGTCTTCTTGTTGAAGTGAAGTGAACACATCCAAGGCTTATTTAGAGGGATTATATGAATTGAAATGGTAGTTTTATCTTTATCTGTTTTAAGGATGAAAAAAAAAATAAAAATCATTGGACTCTTTAATCTGCCGTAAGCAAGTTAGGACTAGCATCTACAGTATTGAGACGATATATGCACATTCTTGGCAATCTGATTAGTTGCATGTTGAGATCAGACAACTTCTCCTCTTCTTTCCACAAGTTGCTTGACATTCTCAGTTTGCTAAAATTTTGGAACATGTTGATTCTCATGTTTGCCTTTTTGAAAGGTATGAATTAGTCGAGTGTCTATGATAGCCATTACTCCGAGACTGTGTTTTTAGAACAATGAACATCTCTATAACCTTGTTATTTTGTGCTGAGCTTCTTGGTAAGTAAATGCATGATTTCTCTTAATTCATATGTAATGCTGGATGGAAGATGTTTGTTTATACATTGAGTGCACAGAGGCATTGTTAAAACATGTTTTGAGATTTGGCATGAGATGGTGTTATTGTTTGATTCGATAGTGTGTTATGTGCCCGCGTTCAAACTAATTTTGTATTTACTTAGATGCGTTGGCTGGGAACGATTCATTTCATAGAATATACTTGGAACTTAGAGTATGAGGTAGGATTCTTGTTGTATTTAGGTAAAAAGGGCTTCATTGGTGCATTTTACTAATTTGAGGACTACTACTTAGCAACGTAGATTTATATTTGGAAGATACATGCCAGTTTATGTTTGATTACCGTTATTAGCTCTTCTTTTGTTTCTAAATCTATATTTTTTAGTATTTGAAAACGAAATTTTTTGGAGCTGAAAACAACTTTTACCTGTAAATTGCAGGCTTTATTTTATTTTTATATTTGTCTTCACAATGCAGTAGTGAAATTTTGTATCTTTTTTCCCACTTAAATAGCAATAAACTTGAAAATAATACAAATCATCTGTTTGTATTGCACTGCCTTGTGTAAATGACATGACCTGAAGTTGATAATAAATGAAATTAGCTATTTAATTATATGCTCCATGTTTATTTTGGTCTATAATAGGAAGGAATTGACACAATAAAATTTTAGTATAGATAATGGAAATTAAAACATAAAAGTAGACGATGTGGGTCGTGGGTGAGAATCTGGGTAGGGCCTTATATATTGTTGGGTTGGTTGGTTAGTGGGCTGTTTATCTTGTGAAAATTTTACACTATGCTTACTCTTGACACTGTTTTTGCATTACTTGATAATAAATACTAGTATTTATTTTCATTCGACACATAATTGGATTGTTTCATGACAATGAAAATAATTAGTGAATTAATAATTGTATGAAATACATCTGATACGCAATGCTAATAAAGTTAAAAGTTATGGTCTAGAATGAAGTCATTTGAACCTCTGCTTTGTTCTACTCTTTGACCACATATACGTTATTGAATACAAACAACATAAAAAGAATAAATAAATAAGAGAAGAAACATAGAACAGATGGAAGGTTTTATTTTTATTATTTTAAAGGAACCACTAATATTAAGAGCAGTAATGCAGCAGAGAGCGGGTTTGAAGAAATATCACGTCACAGCTCTTCTGTTTTATTAATAAACAAAAGTAGAGTTGAGTGTTAAAATTTAATAATAATAATCCCATCCTATCCCATAAAAGCATAGCATGGCATTGGCATTGGCATACCATATCAAAGTGTGCATAAAAGCCAAAAAGGAAGAAGAGGTCAGTTCAGCTTTCAAGGAAGGGAAAGAAGAGTAGCAACAGCAGCTTCAAAAATAACAAAAGGATAAATAAATTCAGAAAATTTAAATTAGTTTCAGTCCTTGGGAAGAGGGATCAGTTCAACAAGTTGGAATAAAAGTCAGCTTCATAGGGGGGTGGGGGTGCGGGTGCTGGTGCTGGTGCTGGTGGAGTTCTCAGAAGCTGTATTTCTTGAAAGTTGTTTGCTGCCTGAAGAAGCCGAAGATGATGATGATGATGAGCCATTGATGATTGCAGCCAAACATCCGACATCCCCATCGCATTCGCATTCAGACTCAACGGCGCCTCGGTTACTACTACTCCTCCTGCATACTCATGCATCGGAGGAGGATTGTGGTGGTGGATGGATTCCGATTCCGAACCCCACGGAGAAGAACAAGTGTTATTATTATTATTACTGCTTGACAGAAGAGAGAGAGCACGACGATAGTCCAGTGCTGCTGCTGCTGCTGCATCATCTATGTTTGATGTAGACGATATTGAGATCATCCCAGAAGATCCCTTCAATCCTGGAACTAGAACAAATTATTAACTTACTAACACAAAGTGTAAAGAGCGGTAGAAAAAACAGTACCTGGATTCAGGGCCTCGGGTGGTACATTGCTGCTCTTCGATCCCAAAAACCCGTTGGTTGGATTATCCGGCACATGGATGCCATGAGGCAGTTTCATTCCATAGCTTCCATCCACATCAGAATCGGACTTGGAAGGAAACCCTTTTGTAATGCTGAACTTAGACATCGTCCTGTTCCACATACTGCTGCCGGGATTATTGTTCCGAGAGTATATGTACGGGCCATTGTTCAACAGAAAACTCATCGGCTGTTGCCTGCCTTCTGATACAACAACAAACAGATCAGGTAACTACGTCCATCTCCCATGTTCAGATTTAATCCTCTAAGAATGGAAAGAAAAAGATACCATAGTACGGCGAGGACAGCCGAGCTGAATTGAACTGGATAGCTTCCTGTGGAGGCTTCCGGCGCCGTGCATTATGATCAGATAGCCTTCTTCTGCAACTACGCTTCTTTTCGTCGAATTCAGCCAAGCTATGGAACCTTCAAACATAGAAAGAAGTCGAATTCGTAAAAAAGGGAAATCTTCAAAACTAGCAAGCTTCAGGTACCAATTAGTTCTACCTGCTACACTGTTGGCAGAATCGACGTTCCACTCCGGCGACAACCACCTTCGGGCATTTGGAGTGGGCGTCGCAAACCCTATGCTTCCGGTGATACTCTTTCGCCGTCGAAAGATCGACATTGCAGCCCTCTACAAGGCACCGAGGTATCTGGAGATTTTGCCCGGCCGACGACTTTGTCTTCTTGGTCAAATTCGCAGATGGAGTAGGCATAACCGAAAAAGATGCAGTTTTGCCGTTGCCCCCATTCGCCGTGTTCTCGAAATACGTCCTTTTTCCGAGCTTTAGGCCAATCAACGGCTCGAGAGAGGCAACAGAAGCATCGGTAGGCTTCGAAGTCCCCGAAATCTCAGCTCCTTTCACATCCATTTTCTCAGTGAAGTTCCCTGAAAATCCATCGAATGTCATGAGCCGGAAGTTGGGAGTTTGCATCCCGTCTTTGGTCGATGAATCGGTAGAAGCTGAAATCGAGCTCTTGGCCGATGACACATGGCCTCCGTCGGAGCCGGCGCTGTTACCACCCCCTGCTGAAAGATTGAAAGATCCAGCATCAATTTCTGCATCATCAACAATCATCCAGTCCGCCAACTGCACCTTTTTGGGGCTTTCGATTGTTTTAGAACCAAAAGCAACAAAGTTGTCCCAATCCCATTTGGGGTTCCACTCCATCTCTGAAAACTGGCTCATTATATGAACACCCTCCCCCTCAATTTCTGCTACTCAGATGAACCAGACATTACTAGATCTGCCAAGAACACAAATTGGGGATTATTGATTAATCACCAAGAGAAAGCTCTAACTCAATCAGAGAAAACAAGAAACAGTAAAAGTTTTCAAAAAACCCCGAAATCAATCAATCAATCAACAAAACAACCTATTGGAATCAACAAAATCAAAGGATTAATTCATTCTTCACTTTTATTTCAGATTCTTTCTTGTTCCTGCAATTAACTTGTTCAATCTTAGAGAAGAACAAGCAACCCAATAAAGAAGTTGACCTCAATTACCATACCCCATCCATGGCAGATGATTACCTTCCTTCTTCCCTTCCTTATGTTGGTACTAAAGAGAAGAAAGTGGCGCTTTCACTTGGAGCAGATCAGATAACTGAAAATGCCTTTCTACTATTTACAGGCTACCATTTAACCATCTTTCTTCCGTGGGTAAAGTAAAGTAAAGGCACCTTTATCGCTTTCCTTTCTTATTTTACTTATTTTTTAATTCCCCACGAACTATTTTTTTTACCATTTACCAAATACCCACACTCCCGAATGATTAAAAAACAGTAAAAAAATTAAAAAAAAAAAAAAAGGAAGAAGAAGCAAGCCCTCTCAATTTTCTTTAAATAAATAAAATTAAATAAAACCCCTATATGTCACCTTCAACGGCTTTCCCACCTAACCAGAAAAGAAATACTCCATCGTCATACTGTAAAAAAAGACTCTCTCTATTGCTCCATGTCCACAAACTCAAGTAGGAGAAAGCAAGAAATAGTGATCTATGAATTCTACACTAGCTTCTTTACCCAATGTCCTTTTTACCAACAATTGCAGGCTGTTAAAACATCCCCCCAAGTTAAATATCTTTTTTCAACATCAAATGAAAAACAAGAAACTGATAAGAATTGTGGCTGATGGGGCAGTTTATGGTCCCCCATTTAGGGTTTTTTCAACTTTTTTGGAACCCCAAACAACCCAAGGTAACATGAATAAACAACCACTCATAATGTTTCCACTTCTCCCAAACAGAGAAAAACAAAAAATGCTTGAAATCAAAACCACCACTACACGACGTCGTTTCCGCCATCCCTACAGACGTCCAAAACTCCATAGACCAGAAATTAAAGCAACAAGCAGATGCAAATTTATTACTCAAACCAACAAAGAACTCGAGGTAGAAAAATTCTCAATCCGCAATCCTCAAAGCTTTAAAAAGCATTTCACGTTCCCAGATTTCAGCCATGAATCCTCCAATACCCTACCCTCACTATCATCCTTTTTCAACTTTCTTTCTTTTTTATTTTTCAAAATCAGTACCAGCTTCCCCTTTCCCAACAAAATCTGAACAATGATTGCAGGCAGCAACCACCACATCATTCAGTTTAACGATCCTGCACATGATTAAAGCACAAAACACACGCAGGCAGCCGGAAAGGCCGCAAAAAATTCCTCGATAAGGAATGAAAAAGATGGGGGAGCTGCGGCTTACCCAGTGAGCAAAAAAGTCGATGGAATCATGCGTGGAGAAAAGCGAGGGATCGAAAGGAAAGCCAAGGACGAACTATTTTACCAAATGGAGAAACTGATGAGAATGAGAGAAGAGTTCGAAGAGCAGCAATTCAATAACAACAGTGTGACCCTTATTACTTTATACTGGGGACTCCGGGTCCCGTCCCTGTGTCTGCGTCCGCAGGTCCGCGCCTGTGGCCGAGGGGAATCCGACGGCCAGGGTTCGCTGGCTCTGTGCTGTCAATGATTAGAGCCGTTGATTTGTGGGACCCGTGCTTGGTTCAGCTGGACCGGGAGTACGACCAGCTGGCTCTCCGATTGAAGATCTGGACACGTGGACGGTGGAGATTTGATGACAGTGTTGCCTGGCTACTGGCACATGACAGAAACTCGCTAGTGGAGCAGTGCGGGCGGACCTGGTCTGCGCTGAGTCGACTCGGCTTGACTCGCTATGTTTATTTTATTTATTTATTTTTAAATAAAAACTTGTTGCAAGCCATTAATTTGTTGTCGTTTTGTTCTTTGTCTTTTATTTATTAATTTATTTTATTTTGTTGGTTCTTTCAATTTTAAGTAGAGCTATTTTAATTTTTTTTTTTTTTAAGACTATAGTTAATGTATTGAATAACATAATTCAGTATACTGTATGAATTCAATATATAGTAAATCAATCTTATTTTTAAAATATTTTCAAACATCACTTTTAAATATTTTTTATTATTAAATTAATGTAGAAAAACAAATATAGAAATGATGCTTGAATATTGTCATATATTTAAATGAAAATAGAAATTTATTTATCGAAGTCTATTACTTCCTCCGTCCACGCACAAAGTAAACATTTACTTTTTGCGTGGTGTTTAAAAAATAATATTATTTTAATTATAGTGGGTAGTTAAAGGTAATGTAATGACTTTTTTGTCCTTACTTTTTTTTTATGTAAAAGTAACGATGTGATGTAAAGTAAGGGTATTTATGGAAAAAATAAGGTATTTAATAAAATATTTACTTTGTAATTGCACGTCTCAAAATAGAAATATGTATACTTTTTAGTTGGACGGAAGGAATATTAAATTAGAATGTGTATCTAACATTTATGTTTTATATGTATGTTATTGTTGAGGCAAATAAGCAATTATTGATGTATGAATGAGGAGGGTATGAAGAAAATTCCAAAATAAAAAATCATTTTCCATTCTTTTTAAAGTTTACAAAAAAAAAAAAAACATGTTAAAAATGCTACTAATTTATTGCAATTTCAACCACTTATCTACATGAAACATTAAATAATTTGTAGCAAGATGTTATGTTACCATTATTTATTTTATTTTAGTAAAAAACAAACAAAACTTAAATGGGTCCCCAATTATGTCAAGTACAATATTTAGGACACACATCCTCTTATCTTAATTTCTAATTTTGTTCCGTAAAAGAGTAATATTTATTTTTTGCACATAGACTTTTTAATATTAAGTATTATATTGGCTTATAATAGAAAATACAAAAATACCCTTATTAGATTATGTAATAAAAAAGTAATGACATTTATGTAATATATTGAAAGTTTTAAGGGTATTAATTATGTGAGGTAGATAGTAAATTACTAAATTAAAAAATAATATGTTTTTTGGACGGACAAAAATAAAAAATTATATTTTTCTTATGAAACAAAGAGAGTATAATATTTTCCGATAACAATTAAATTTTTAATTGGATAATAATATCTTCTCTCTCTCCATTTGAATATCACATTTTTTGGGGCAAAAAAAAAATTCAACTTCATATTTTTTTTAATATTATATTTAAATAATTTTACATTAAAAATATCAAATTAAAAAATTCATCTAATTGAAAATTTAAATGTTAAAAATCACAAAGTCAACTTCATAACCCATAGGCCAAAACACCTTTGTGTTTGTATTTTGTATCTGTTGAGTAAGTTGATACTCCCTCCGTTCCACAATATTACTAAATTTATTGTTATTATTATACAAAAATATTATCACATATTCCCTCCGTCCATCTTATAATGTTCTAAGTGATATTTACACGTTTTTTTAAATAATTAATTTTTTTGTTGTAAATTGATAAAATAGTCATTTATTTTGTGTATAGATATAAAAAAGATAAATAAAGTAAAGGTAAAAAGGTAAATTTTATGTATAAAAATAAAAAGAAGACAATCATTTTTGGACGTTCTATAAAGGAAAGTAGAACATTAGTTTGTGTAAAAAGAAAGTATTATACATAAATCCAAGAATAGTGTCTTGTAAAAAATAGTATGATAGTGTGAAGTATGTGGGCTCATGAATTCAAATTTTTAATACTTTTAAGTTTTATTCTTTCTGCAATCAAATATATATTATTAATTTTTTAAACTTTTTAATTATATATAAATCCACTAGTATTATTATTTTAAAATTTATTACAAATTCTTTTTAAAAATAAGTTAATTCGGACGAAAATAGTATTATTTAAAAGCATTTGGTATTTTGTGTGGAGTTCAAGTGGCCACTTTAGATAAATAAATGTGTGGGCACAGATGCAATTGAATGCCAATCAAATATATAAATAAATAAATATAAAAATATATACTTATTTGATTGGCATACAATTTATTGTGTGTATCATATGCACTTAGATTCAAATAATATAGCAATGGCTTACTGTAGTATTTCCTCCGTCCCGAGTTTTTAGGTAGGTAGTATTAAGTAAGATAATTTATAAATTAAGTGATACGATGGAGAGAGAAATATATATTTTATTTTTTTATTTGGATGATGCGAGGAGATAAAATGTAGGATAGAGATTAAATATAATTAATTATTTTCTATTTTAAAAATATTGCAGAGTGTTTGGGACGTACCAAAAAAAAAATGTTAGCGGGTGTTTGGGATGGAGGGAGGGAGTAATAATTAGTCTTACCTGTCATCTATTAATTGGTTTATTCATTTTCCTATTGTCAAATTTTTTGTACTGAAAGGGTTTGAGGTTAGATGTATTTGTAATATTTATTTATTTATTTATTTATTTATTTTTCTAATTTTTCATATCCTTTAGGAATTGCTATTTAATTTCTATTTTTAAAATTATTTTATTTGCACTTTCTTTTAATATCAAATTTAAAATTTACTCTAAAAATATCAAATGTAAAAAAAAATATTTAAGAAATTTGTTACAAATAATACTTCTTCCATCCGAGTAATATTAATATTTTAATATAAAAATAAGATAAGTAAAAAATAAAATAACGATGTTATGGGTTTGCATGTTTAGTGTTTTAGTTTGAAGTATTTTTTCATATAAGATAAAAGAAATTGTGTCGTCGATTATATAAAAATAATATTTTTTGTATTGATTCTTAATTTTTTTTGAGAGAATAAAATATATATATTGAGAATTGTATTTGAAAAATATGTTGGACAAACAAACCCTATGAGAAATTTATTTTAAAAAATGATAAAAATGTAACGTAATAAGTAGAAAAAATAGTGATATTAATTATTATTTGTTAAATTAAGAGTAATCAAATTATGAATGAATAAAATTATTTATTATTAATGAATTGCGAATAAGTTTAACGGGCAACAAAAAAAAAATTAACATAACTATAGCGGAGATGGAGAAAATAATACTAATAATAATAGTAAAATATTTACCTCCTATACTAATATTATATTCTCATGTCCAAGCTAGAAGTACCATTTTTATTATTTTTATTTCTTTCACTAAAAAATATTTATTTTTTATTATAATAAAAATTTTCATACATTAATATCAAAATACTTTAAAGTTCTATATAAAAAACATATTATTGCATATATATATATATATACATAAAGCACAAGGACAAAAATATCAAAATTATCTTATACATTTCTACTGATTAATAAAATAATGTTATTTCTATTATAAAAAAATCAAAGACATTATTTTTTTATCCAAAAAAAAAACATTAAACAATCAGTACTTTAATAGATTGGTGCATACGTGGAAGTGCAAAATTTGATGCCATAAGCGTTAAATTAAAATATTGAATCCAACTTAGGTAGGATTGTAATTTCAAATCAAAATTAATAATATTTATTCTAATAAAACTTCAACAAAAATATATTAATTTTTTTTTATAAAATATCACATCACAATATTATTTAAATAAAAATATTTAAAATTCAATTTCAAAATTTTTTCCAGTGTATTCATTTGATTTTAATTTTTATTTTTAAACTATTGTAATATTCTTAAAGCGAAATGATTATTGAATATAATAACTTTTGAAAAAATGAATAATGGTAAATAAATAAATTCAAAGTAAAAAAATCATCTTTATTTTATTTAACAATTTCGACATCCTTTGTTCTAATATATTTTCATTCAGCAATTTCTTATATATTTCAACAAGAATTTCAAAAATATTGTATTTAGATTATTAGATACCAATTTTTGGGTACTTTTATATGTAAAGATTCTTTTTTTTCTTATATTTTAATTTAATATAACGATATTGATATAAACAATTATAAATTGTAAAGTATTTATAATATATAATATGGACAACTGAAAATGATAAAAATATATATAGATTTCAAGTGTACAGATAAAAATATATATATAAACAAATAAAATTATGGTTCTATATTTTTTTATAATTTTATTTTTATTTTTTTTAAATACACAAATTATTATATTTTTCTATAAAAATATATTATTCAAATAAAAACCATCAAAAAATTAATCATTGTCCTTATGGCCTAATCAACATATTTAGCCCTTGTTATAAAATTAGAAATAGAGAATTTATGAAACTTTAGTAATTATATTTTTAAAATTATTTTTTACCTTTTCTTAAATCCATTTTTTCCGTGTGGGATACTTCATAGTCATTTGTTAGTAATAATTAATAAATTAATAATATAGGGTGATGGTAATTAGTTGACTAAGGTAGATAATTAAATTAAATGGAAAATTAGAGGGTTGAGTAGTGTCACCTAACTGCCATAACATAATATAATATAATTAATAATTATTTATAAGTCCAAATAACATTGAATATGGCCATGACTTTTTATATTTTAGAATTCTTAGATCACTAGCTTTTTTTAATTTTGTTACTTTTATGTCTTAAATATTGCTATATTTTGAGGTGTTTGGTTATTCAATTAAAGTTACATAATACTCCCCCCGTCCTATAAATATAGTTTTAATTAAGTTAGGCACGGAATTTAAGGAATATTAATATTATATCGGTAATCGATTAACAAAATATGAATAAAATACTTTTTTGCCCTTGTGAATGTATTAGAGTAAAAAATAGTGGCAATTGTGTAATAAAAATGAAAAAGTAGGGGTAATTTTATGGTGATATGGTTATTTATGGAAATAAAACTGTTGTTTTGGAATGGACAAAAATAGTAAAC